TCGTCCAAAGACAGATGGTTCCGGACGACGTGTCCGCGGATCCCCTTAGACTTTATGAGTTCGCTGCCTTCCATGTCAAATGCGTAGCACTTTGATCGAAGTGCAGCGATCTCAAAGAGAGTGAGGCCACTGGTCTCGTCTGAAAACAAGCCGGGCATCTTCTTTCTATCGGTGGAGTAGCAAGGGTGATCCTTGGGCAGGCTAGATGCGTCCACGTGCACCAGTAAATCGGGGCTACCAGCTAAATCCTGGTAGAAGTCGCCTACTCTGAGCAGGTATATGAAGGAGTCTGAGAAAAATTAAAAATATATAAATATAAAAAATATTTCTACTGTACGGTTGTACTCACCAGTATCCATGTAAACCAATTCGATTGCACTGCCATAATGTGGTTTCAATACGTCGTAGAAGTACTTGTACATTAGCGTCTTGCTAATGTCAAGCACTGCTAAACCGACGTATATTGGTTTGATAAACTTGACCATCTTTGTGTCCATTATGACGGCGCACAACCTTTCACCGTATTTGATACAGTCGTTGAAGGTTGGTTGGTTTACGAGCTTGCTTAGACGTTCGGGACTGGAGATTAGCTCAATACGGATGCGTTTCCGCATGTTCTCCATTGTTTTCCCTATAAAATGTAAAAAATTATCGAATAACCCACTTTAGCATTGAGCATGCACTTACCAAAGACGGCATTGTTCATTAGTTTGAAAAATGCAATTTCAAAAGCATTTGCCGCCTTTTTCCGCATTTCAGTGTTCAACTAAATGTATGGTTTCAACCAAGTACTTTGTTGAAACTCTAAAACGCGGTGCACCTGCAGTACAAATATTTATATTAGTATCATCGCTTATAGTTTATAGGTTAACTATACATACTTTATCGACTTGCAGTCCGTGTGCGATCGCCTGTTTAAGATTAACGTAATGTACGACGTACCGCTGTTTGGGTTTCAAAGTGGCCATGAGTTTGGTCTCTTTGGAACCCGGCGGTACATCGTTGACAGGCAAGAACGGCAAGTCGTTGTGCTCGTCATGCAGCTCTTGTGGATACGATACGTCCACTTCATATATACGCCCCGTATTACCAGTGTCCGACAACGATTGGAGGTCAGCCAGAGGGTCTGCTCCTTTATACCACCGGAAGCCACCGTACGGCATGGGCTGACTCATAGCCCACCCGTAAAGGTTATTGCCTGTAAACATTAAACGTT